TAAATAAGCTTAAGCTTTATAAGCAAGAATATTTTATATTATAAAAGACATATGTTCTTAATACTGAATCTGCTAAATTATTCTCTTTTAGTAAAAGTTTAGAAAAATATACTGTTTATTAGCTTATATATAGAATTAAAAAATTTAAAGCTTATATATACAAGAATTATAAATCTTTTAATTATTTATTTACATAGTATCTAATTAACTTTTGCAATTACTATTAGCAATTTAAATATATTGTTACTTATTATCTATGATTGTATAGAATTTGAACTTGCTTATACTAAAAAACAAAAGACAATAATTAAAGTTTGTACTATTAAACATTTGCATAAAGCATTAAAGAAAAGATATAATATCTATCTCTTATATTAATGTTTGTCTACATATTTAGAACCACAACACAAACACACTTTTGAAGCCTGCCATCATCACTATTCTTCAAAAGTCAGGCTAGCATTAGTAGCAAGAACTGATATAAAACAATATATTGATGAACACTATTGTTTGACATCTGTTAAAGCAGTATAAGTTTTTGCAAAGGTATTTGCAAGTAATACTGTTGTCATTTCTCAAGATGTTAAAGCAAAAATCAGTTTAGATATTTCTGCAGTTGGTCATACATTTAAGGCTATGCAATTAATAAATAAACTAGTTACTATTGAAGATTATAATTTTTTTAAAAAAAGTAAAATGAAACTTCTACCTTCTGTGTACTTTCTTATTGATCCTAATGATTTAAATAATATGCTTTGCTCTAGACAACTCACTATCTTTATTAGATCTGAATATTTTATAGACACATCTTCATTAATGCATATAGCTGATTTATTAAGCCTTGTTAACAACTAAGCTTTTGACTCTGTTTTATTGAAAGAAAATGAAGTTAGACTAATTTGGGTTCTTCTTATTCATGGAAGGCCTAATAAGAATTCAAAACACTTTAAAAATATTGTTGAATATTGTAACTTATTTCAGACTCTAGATCTTAATTATTTAACTGTTTGTATGCATATGCTATATTAAAGTGCTTATATTCCTGTAAAAAGAAACATGGCTTCTTTATTAGAAAAACTTGCTAGTATTACTCTACCTATAAATAAATATAGTATACATCTGGATTCTTAAGAAAATGTTGTAGATAAAAAGTTAGTATAGCATAATTTTGAATTTTCAGAAAATAGATTATATAAACTTTGGAATAGAGATGATTAATATAATAAACCTGTAACAGTACATCATGTTGATCAAATTAGTTAACTATTTGGTGATATTATATTCTTAACATAGAAATAAATTGAGCATTTTGCCCAGTTATGTTGATATTTATTGGATCTAAAAAAATGTAAAAATTGTCAATGTTGTCATAAATATAGAGCTCCTGATGCAGCACTTTACTGGACCAAAATGAAGAATTTATTTCTCCAATTGCTAAAGAAAAAATAAACATTTTATTGATCTAATACATGCTCTCCAATACTTTAACAAATTAAAGATTCCATCATATGATAGTTCATGTTCATTAATTTTGAAAAAAATGTATTATTGATTATATTGTAGCAAATGTGATAAGTATTTCTTTACCTTAAGATTTATTATGTATTATAAGCATTAGCAATATTCATCCAAGCATGGTCAACCTCGAAAGCAAGTTGATAAGACATTACTAGCTGCTGTCTTATCAAACTTTAGAGTTGCTAAAAATGTAGTTGACTATAATTTGTCAGATGATAAGATTTCAAATTTGCATAATGTACAATCTGATAGTAAATAAAAATTAATAGATGTTAGAATCTATAATTCATATTAATTTATCTAGTTAAAACTGTTAAATGTAATTTTTAAATATATAAAAAAAATAAATAAGTCTGTTGACTAATGATTTACATAATCTTTGACTTTATAATCTGTAACTTCATTCATACATCAGTCAGATATTTTATATGATTTAAAAATGATTAGCAATATACTAAAAGATAATTATAAAACTGATTTCTATTTAAAAAAAGACAATTTTTTATTATTAAAAATAACAATCAGTTTTTAAAAAACTATTAAAATATTCTTACAGAAGTTATTCTATGAATATATAGTTTAGAGATCTGTAGAGATCTCTGAGGGTTTAAAAAGCAATTGTGTGCCAAATAACAATGCAACCAATAATTGATGCAAAATTTGTACTATAGAATTAAAAAAGAATTTTTTAATTAAAAATTTTTTATCAAAAGGAGAAATAATTTGCATTACACAAATTTGAAAAATCTCTAACTGTATTTTTATTTAATTTTTTATCTGACTAATAAAATTTTGTACTACTGTACAACTTATAATTTGTAATCTTTGCTTGATAGCTATTAATATATATTATATATATAGATGTAATTTATCAGTAAACTTTATATATTCATGATAAAAATTAAGTGATAAATAGCATGCCTCTTATTATCTTATTTTCTTTAATTAATTTTTTTTATACTAACTTTTCTTTATTCTGCTCATGCTTGGCTTTTTTTTTTTTTTTTCTCTCTTAGGTCTTCATCTTTAGTAAAATAATCTGTATCAAATTCTGGTTCTGAAATTTTATAATAACTTAGTGCATCAACCAATAGTGCCCAGTTAAGACAGTTCTATAATAGAGTTTCATCCTTATTCATATGACCTTAATAATGCTATTTGTACATTCTATTATTTATTGATTAAAGAGACTTCACAAATAGATTAATATATTTGTAAAACAACCTTTTTAATTAAATATAATATTAGTATTAGGATTATTTAATATAACTATAAAAAACATATATTATTAAATTAATCAATATTATACAAATACATAATACTAGTTAATTTAATAGAATATAATATACTAACATGCTTTTTATATTACTACTTGTCTATATATACTAATTTTTTTACTTTTTTTCTATTTTACTTTGTTGTCTCATTATCAGTTACTTATACTTCATTAGAATGGTATACATTATCACCTTTACTTCTTGTTAACAACTCCAAATTATTATATAAATATCATACAATTTTTTTATTGCCTAATTTAATTAAATATGATAATGCTTTATATCTTCTTTTTTTCTTCTAAATAATATAATAATAATAATAATCATTATTATTATTATTATTTATCAACTCTTTCTGCTAATTTCTAATTTCAAAGCAAAGCAGAAAACAAAACATAAAATACAACTAAAACAGAATAGCAAACAGTCTTTGGGCTCTTAGAAAAAAAGAGATTATGTTCAAGAATACACAAACTATAATAGAAGTATAATAGTAGAAAATATATTACTAACAAACTAAACTTGCTTTAAGAAAAATTTTTTTTTTTTTAGTATAAAACTCGAAAGTTTGAGGAATTACAATTGATTTTGAAAAACAAAAAAAAAACATGTAACTGACCAAACAACAAACAACAAGTCATGTTCTCAATTAGAAAATAGAAAGATAAATTAGTAATAGATAGTAACATAATACAGGATACATGTGAATAACTCAAACAAGGAATATTGCAATATAGAAGTTTAATGAATAGATTAAATAGATCAGATCACTGATACAGACATTATGTACTATATTAAGAGGGCAAGTGACAAAAATTGAAAGTATTTAAATTCTGAAATATTGGATCAAATTCTAACAACTCCTGCAAAAGAACCAAGCAATATAAAACATATAGCAAAAAACCTAGCAATAAACAACCCAAATAACATTACACTAAGCAATATACTATTCTATAAACAAATTCTTAAGGCCTTGAGTTTAGCAGAAATAAGTTGGCTCAAAGAAGATATAATAGATAA